GTAGTAGTAGCAGCAGGCAGCAGTAGTAGTAGTAGCAGTAGTAGTAGGAGGAGGAGGAGCAGCAACAGGAGGAGGAGGAGTAGTAGTAGTTGTTGTTGTAGTTGTAGTTGTAGTTGTAGTAGTTGATGTTGTTGTTGTGGTTGTGGTTGATTTGTTGTTGCTGTTGTGGAAGCAGCAGCAGCAGCTGCAGCAGTAGTACGACGACATCAGGAGGAAGAGATACGTTCAGCCGGGCATGCACTCAATAAATATTGGTAAACAAACTCAGCGATGCTTGAACGGGAGGCAAACACATTGACAAGTAAGTGCATGAGTGCTGCTGGGAGTTTATAGCCATCAGCGGCGGCACATGCTGAATACGTTTCCTGCCTTTGCCCGTTCCTCACGATTCGCTTTGCCATCTTCCATTTTGGCCTGGTCGAAGCATTGCTCCAGCGTAGAGACCCTCAGGCTCGGACTCAGATTATTTCAAGCTCGAATGCTGTCGACTGGGGCTTCCTCTGAGGCGGCGGGATAGGATTTGACCGAAGCTGCTTGTATGACTAATTATGCTGCATACTGGTTATGCTTCACTAAGCAGAGACACACAATCGAATTGAAACAAGGCAAAGAATTGAATTCATGAGCTTAGACCCCTGACCGTGGCCTCGACATTGACGCGGATTCGAGAGCCGGGCAACGAGGGATCCATGCTTGTGACAGCAACTTCCTCAGGTTCTGTCAAACTTCAGTGTATCTATAGTCGCATGTAGAGCTGCATTGGCATCATGCGCCCGATATGACAACACTGGTCCACCATGAACAACTGGCTGAATGTCACATGGACCTATTCAGCTTGCACATGTTGCAGCTGAGCCATGTTGGCCGACAATGTTGTTCGACTAGTTGTTCCACCAATGCTTGCGACATTGCCTGACCGAACAAAAGATGCTTACAATCCGTTCCTGCCGAGAATCGTGGCTGGACTTTGTGTCCGGGTCAACGGCAACGATGCATGTGCCCACCTTGACATGGGTTGACTCTCATTGGCTTCTCCTGTCCGTATAGATGTTGCTACGTCTGTCCCTAATTTGTGCCGGGATGCATGCTGGTAGATGTCCACTTTGGCATTTCGCCGGCGCTCGAGTTGTGGAAAGTGATAGCAGCGATGAGGTTCGTACCTGCAAGACATCGCAGTATTGGACCATCTTCTGACAGCCTGACCGGCTTACTGAATTGACGTCCAAACACTTAGCCCAGACACGACAATTTAGGAGCAGTGGTATCATAACAAACTCAGACTCATGTCATAAGTCATAAGCCCTGAGTGCTGCTTCGACTGGACTGCTCTCCCTGCCTTCCCTGCTTCAGAACGTCGCCGACCCGAACGCCAATGAAACCTTGTGAGCTGCTTGGAGCTGCTTGACCCCAGGCTGTGAGAAACATTGCCCCAAAGGTTCCTCACGCGGATCCGTGTAAAGGGCATGGCCCATGCTATAGCCATACTACTATAATACCATGTAAACATGATATATTATATTGCATTATAGTTTACTATATTAATGCTATAGGCGGCTTCCAGCTGGCGCCGGGTTTAACCAAGCGCGGCCTGGCGGCAATTGTTCGGAAGGCTGAAGCCCTCCACCTGAGAGCGCTTGGAGTGAGGAGTCGAAGGTTCAGGGCTTGCACCCTTCACGTCTGAAGGGTTCTCTAAGTTAGGATCTCCTGGCGCACTGCACTCTTCTCATCAAGATTCCTGAGAAGGGGCCACAATGTAAAGGATTACCCGTACTTCAAGCTGTGGCGCAGCTTCAACCTTCAACTCCATCCCGGCACGGCGGCCTTCACAGAAGGGATTGCAATGAACATGCCGCCCAGTCAAAAGGGTAGCAGCACCGGGCCGCTCTCCACCACGACCGAGAGCTTACAGACTTCGGGGAAGTGGAAGGTTTCAGGCGGGCTCCTGCCGGCCTGGGCTTGGAGACACAGCGCAGCCCACCGCTTTGTTTGGGCCAAGTCTGCGGGCTGCGGTAGGAGGTTCCGACAGAGAAGCCAAATCCATGAGAGTGTGAAGTAGTCCTTCATGACAGTAGCTGACGCTTCACCCAGGAGCGTGCCATTCAAGTCGCAAAGTTCCCACTTTGACAATTTGAGTCGGGTCTTGGTCCGAGTCTACATATATATATATATAGAAATATACATACTGACTGTAGTCATATGTATATTTAGATTTACGGAATCGCCCGAACTATCCGGTAATATCTCAAAGAAACACGAAGGCAATGCTCCAGCTTCGACTGTCCCAGCCTTGTTGGCGGCATGCTCCGAGCAAGTCCGGGCCTAAACGAGCGACCAAGTTCTCATCATCAATGACCAGGGTTTAGGGTTCAGGGACCTTCTTCATGCTAGCAGCACTGCTACCTGTAGCATCCTTGCAGCAGTCACACTTGGACATGCCTCCTTTATCATCCTTCTTTAATTTGAAGGCGGCTTGTTCGCAACGCTCAGCTTTGCTAGTTTCCAAATTCTAGCCGCCTGACACACGTTCGTTCGGACTGACTCCTGCTGCCTGTTGCGTCGCAAGACCATCGGCTAAGCTTGCTGCATTTTCCACTGCAAAGGCGCCGTTGCCCAAGATGGCTACGTTGTTGCCTTCAGTGTTTCGCGATCGAAATGGCTGAGTTTGCAACAAACGCACTGTTGGGGAACAGGGAAGTGACTTGGAGGAGGCCGCTGGTGCGGAACCGATCGCAGAATCGTCAGGGTTGTTCTTTAAGGTCCCCAATTGTATCAGAATGGGTACACCGATCAGGACCATAAGAGAAATAATGACAAGTTTCCCAAAGTGCCACCTAGCAGTTGACCTCGCCCCATGACACTTTGGGCTGCCATGGAGCCTTTCTGCTGAAACTGATGCCAACGAACATGGCAAATATATGGAAGACGATGCAACTCTGTCAAAGGAGGCAGTGCAGTTCTGCATCAATAGCATCAGATGCCGTGAATGCTGGCAGTACAGAACATGCTGCACTGGCTGCCTTTCAGCTCTTCGTACGGACAGTCGTCGTTCATGCCGTATGCAACGTGGCCTTGCGAGTGGACAAGATCAGAAACATCCGGATGTCACAGTGAAGCATGGTGTGATGCAGAAAGCCCCGCACCACCGAACTCGTCTTCACCAGGGTAATCGATAATTCGATTCCTGCCATCCAAACATGCACTGGACCAGCATTTACTTTCACAGCGAGCTGGGTGATGTCTGCTTAAGTTAAGCCCCCGATCGGTGCCGCTCCTGGTCATGCAGCCGGGGTAGTTGAAGAGGCTTGAGACGCTCACCTGCCAAGACGGATTGCATGAAAACCCCTGGCACAGCCTCGTCCATGGTTTGACTCGCTTTACGGCGAATGTCTTGGTTTCAACCTTCTTTGGAGCAGCTCCTACAAAGGTACTATTTATAGACTTAGGTGGTGCTGTGTAAGTTTTGGTTGGTGGAAATTGTGAAGATGTTCATCGTTTGTGCTGCCAACATACATCTGGCTTGGGAACCAACACGTATGATGTCTAGCATTAGTACGATGCAAACGGCTCTTCGCTGGTCGCACCCCGGCTCTCCCTAGTGTAGGTTCCCAACCGGGGCTCTTCCCAGTCCCCGATATCTCACTTGCAAGAAGCCCTGCTGTGCTTGGCCAGAATGGGTAAAAGATTCCAAAACCTTTCACAAAGAAGCTTGCTATGCTGCGGCCTCGACCTTGCAAAGTATAAATGTATGCACATGGGGTGCTGCAGAAGGCATGAATAGCCTCCGCGGAGTCTCCACCATCGACGGGTGCTACCGTCAGTCTGTAGTACCGATCGTGGTCCTCCCTCGGCTTCAGCCCACAACACTTGCAATAGCGGCTTTGTTGAAGGGATGCGCTCGAGACAAGCAGTTGACCCAGTAAGGCGCGCGCTTCTCGCCGATGATGTCCATTTTGGCAACATTGGTCTTGAACCGGAAATTCGGGAGAACCTGTGTTCAACACTCTGTGCAGCCCAGAACAAAACATGGACACCCCACTATGCCCCCTAGCCTAACACCCAATCAACGAAAACGACTTACGGTACCCTGCAATACCCTATACCATCCTGATATTGTTAACATGCCCTTTTCTTGCTCACCCTACAGCAGGGAGCTGGGCCCCCCGGCTCCGTAAGCTTCGGCCGCATGCTGGAAGTGGGCCAAGACCTCCGAAGCGAACGGTATTTTTTTCCTGCCTACCCAGCAAGGATGAGCCCACATTGCAGGGTACTCAGTATGTTCGGAAACTGTGGCACTTGCACAGTTTTCCGTTGTAGAGATCAGGATTTGGGGAACCGGAAACTCAGAATTTCGGCGTTAACGCTCCCACAATTCGAACCCTGCTAAGATCAGGCAGGCTCTTGGGCTCGTAGGGTTTAGAATGGTGTTGAGTTTCGAGGCTCCCGCATGAAGAGTTTGGAGTTTGTTTCCCTCTAGGGTGTAGGGTTTCCTAACACGTCGCCAGGGGTGTGGGGTTAAGGGTGGCTCAAGACTGGCCGCTTAAGACCTTGTTAAGCCGAAGTCGAATGGACAAAACGAAATATGCGACAAGATGTCATTGTTGCCTGTGACAAATTCAGGCAACCGTTGTGGCGGACGACCGCGACAACGAAGCCGCCTCGCATGAACTTTATAATATGGCAATGATACCCGCCTCCTTCTTTTTGGGCCAGATCTCCCAGCCCTTGGGGTAAGGACCTCGCATGCTCGAAACTCGACTCCACTCTTGTCCGCAATTGACTTTGCACCTGAAAGCCACAGAAACAAAAAGCTTTGAGATGCTCAGAACAGAATAGCCAACAAATCGAAGGCAATCTAAGCACCGGGCACTTCTCGGTCACAAGGTCCTGCTTCATGGAAAAATCGAGCTGCCAGGCAAAACCCGCTCGAAAGTAGAGTGCGTGGACAAACGGTGAGGCAACCCAGCTTCGGATTTCGGATTAAGGCATGCTGGAATGTATGTCTGTCCTGGCCCCACCAGATGTGAAAGGACCTTGGCTTCGGGCTCTGACGCTGCTAAATAGACCTCAAACTCTCAGAGTTCCCCAGCAAGAACTTCTATGCACTCAGCCCGCAGCCCAAATTCAGTTTGCAATTTCGAGTGCGTGTTTGCTGCGGTGATCCAGCAGTATCCACCAACCTGTGACTCAAGCAATAAGCAGCCACAACATTTTGCAATCACACATGAATCCGTCAGGGCCTTGTCGTTGCGATCGAAAACCACGTAGTTGTCATTCCCAGCCTTGCCCACAAAGACTGTCTTGCGTGATGCATTGACCTAGCTCAGTACCTCGAAGATAGGTGCACTGTCAAAGCCATGTCAAAGTTAGGGCTTGAATGCACCAAGTGAGAGAAGGTAGTTCACCCTGCCTTCGTGTAGAGCATGGCAGTTTTCAATCCATTGTAGCCGGCACCTGTTTTCAGAAGTTCCACAGTTCAAAGACTGACAAGCATTGAAACAAGTCATCGGGAAGGCTTTGTCGGAAATTCGTCTCATGCGCACCAGCCACGACAGAGCCCCATGACTTCGACGAAACTGTAGACAACTGTGTAAACCATGTTTGCCAAGCTGGGAAGAGCACGCATTTCTCATGTCGAAGGACTGTCATTACGCGCGTGGCTCCCCACCGGGCGACGCGAAAGCAATGCAAGGCCTTCTGTGGCGTTCTCAGCTTCTGTCAGGGCCGGCCTATGACGCCAGTTGGGTGTGGCCACTGGTGTCTGCCGGGCCTTGTTTGCAAAGACATGACTGGAATTGACATATTCGTTCCTCGCAGGTCTCTGTGAATACCTGCTGATTTTGTCCTTCTGGAAAACTCATGTGCTGAAGTTCTTGGAGAATATCCTGCTGCTATCTTTCACATGACGCGATCCCGCCGTACATGTGTATGCAAGCACTCTTCGAGTGAACCCTAAGAAGCCCGAAAGCTGGTGGGAGCCGGGGCTCTGCGGGCTTCTTGAAATCGTGCAAGTTCAGGAGTGCAACTTCTGTAACTAGTGCGAACCCGGCTGTGTCTATGGATAATGAAGCATTGCACAGCACAAAATGGAACGAAAAATCGGGCTTGTTTGCTCCATGTTGCTTCATTACAGTACTCAGTGCTACCGATGAAGCATTTGCATGTTGCTCGGGATTATCTCTGTGAGGCTGCAACTTCTCAACTGAGATTAACCATCTGTCCGAGCTGCATCTACATTTCCACCATATTCACCAAAGCAACATGACACAACATGAACTGGTGCTTTCCTTCTCCGGTTGGGGAACACCTTTTTCACGCGAATGGGTGAATCTGATCAGACTTGGATAGTGTCTTCTCGGGCAAGGAGTGGCTTGTGAGCAACCTTTGGCACCTGGGAGAACTCTGGCTCATTCAGCGACGGATTGTCATCTCATGCCCTCTCTCTGAGAGACCCCGGCCGAAAGGACTTGATGCCTTTCACAGTGACCTGGGCTGTGCAGCCAACAGGGGCATCTCGGGGCTTGGGGCTGAAGATAGGAATTCGCGGAAGCATTTCGCAAGGTCCTAGCTACAATGGTGTGTGAAGGTTTCTTGGGTACCGAGGCCTATACGTATCCCAGCTTCATCATAGCGATGACAGCATCGATCGTTGGAGAGCTTACGTCTTGCCCACAGACTGACATATGATCAAGTACGTTTACAAAGCATGCTGGATGAGTCTGGATGAGTCTTCGTTGGCCCAAGCCAGCCGGTAGCCCTTGGCTCCCTGCTTGTGCAAACGACATCGGAAACTGAAGTTACAAATGTTGCAAATTACTAGCCCTTCGTTACAGGGATGACACACACACACACACCCCGCCGTTGACTTGAAGGCTGAACCTGAATAACCTCGACGAAAGCTTGCACGCTAGCACTGGGTTCAAGGCACAAGCCGCGACCCCCTCTGAGAGCATCTGCTTTCGTGTGCTGCATCCTGGCAGTGCTATTTTTTGCGTGCTGTTTGGCTTCTCAAACGTGATTACCGAGCTGTTGGCAAGTGCTTGATGCCGTCTACTGTCTTGAGCAATTAAATTGTTCTTGTTTCTCCAGGTAGAGCCTTGGGATATCCAGAAAGCTTGCGGTTCACTTGTCTGTTGCCCGGGCTTGACATGGTCCAAGCAGTCTGCTCTCCTGCTTTCGCAAGGGTAAGAGGTGGAGGAACGACCTCTGCTCTTTCTCTCTTTCTTTCGCCAGGGCTGTGGTGGGGAGTTGCCTCCCAACCGCTCCTCTCTCCCCCTTTCTCTCTGTACCGGAGTCTGCATGGCTGCAACTCGCTTCTGGTAGACTTGGCTCGACATCTTCCCTTTTGGCCTTGCTTCACCAAGAAGCTGATGCCTTGGCAGCTTCTTGACAAAGGGCGTTTTGCTTCATGATCTCAAGAGATTAAGTATGTATTCTCCTGGGGCATGCGGGTACCTCACTGCAGACATGCGTATCAAGCGTATCGACATATCGATGCCATGTCACGCGTGTCCTTTTGGTCACTTACATTGGGCGCCGGCCGTCTGTACACTTGTCGCCAGCAATGGCTATGCAGGCTGGTGCAGGGTTAAGTGAATTCGCATTTCGCAGAATTCAGCGTGGCGGCTTGACGGGCACCGAGTAGCGGAGCCGAGACCCTGACAACTACCATTCCGAGTTGTAGATCACGCTAAGGCGTGCGGTACTTCGGCGGAGAAGCTCTCGCTGGCGGCTCACTCATCCTTGGTAGTCCTCGACTCCTGTAGACCGTAAGGCGGTATGTGCGCGTATCCATGAACTGTGATAGGTTCCCTGGTCCTGCTCCAAAGCCCACCTGGCTGTGCGCGAGAGGAACGGGCCAGCAACGAGAATGCCCAGGATGGGCAGCCTTGGTCTCAAGCTTCGTGATCATCTGAGAATCTGGAGACAGCCGGAGTTCGTGGATGCCTAATCTTAATCTTCTAATTTCATGGCCCGCGCAAAAGAACATGCTCGTGATACATCAACGGCATCTCGGAGCTGGGTGCAACCTGGAGGCGAGCCCAGCACCACTCTCAACCACTTAGGAAGCAGAGACGGTTGGACCTGTCATGTCAAATGTGGAGCATGCAACCAAGCCCAGGAGACCCAGTCTCACGTCAAAGCCCTTGACTGGGCAGCCGAGTCTTGCTACAACGGCTTTGAACAGCTGACCGAGGGTAACCGGAGTATTCCATGCCGGGAATGCTGCCAGGGTGGCGGACCTCTGCATCAGTCCACTCGTCAAAGCCATTCATTGGGACACGCCTCACCTTTCCGGTCGCCTGAAGATGGGCCACCTGGTAAGCGGATGTGTAGTTCCAAATCTTCTTCTGCAGAGTTCCCACGCCCTTACCAACAAGCAAGCCAATATCAGCATCCATGGTCCATGGCTTTGGCAGGCGGCCGATGGTTTCTGAGGTTCCGGGGCAGCTTGGTCACCGCGGAGTTTGGAGGGGCAGTGTCTTAAAGTGGGACCCTGTTGGGGGTGCCGGGGAGCCCTGCGCCTGTCCATCGCATTCGGCGGAGACCGGCGTTGAGCATCCCGTGTTGGCGAGGCGCTGGGCGTCCTCGGGGCAGAGATCGTGGAGCGGAGGCCGGCCAAGGTGGCGTTCGATCAATGCAATCGAACATACCGAAGAACCCAACTCACCGAGCATGTGATCCTGAATACTTACCGGCAGAAGGGAGCAAACCTGCTACTGCTAACGGGTGATGGCGAGTGCTTCTGAAGAGCCGTCTTGATCGGGCAATACCGGTTCCCGTAGGCGCGGTAGTATCCTGGCTGACAGAAGCCCAGGCTGCTTAGGCAACGGAAAGAATAAGAACCTATGCTCACAACACTTGCAACCCAGCATGCCTCAACCTGGACAATGCTGTAAGATTTGTTCCTGCCAGTTTCTGGCTCGACACAGCTTGTCAGATGTCGGAGTATACACACGCCTACATACATACATATGTGTGTGTATATATATATATGTATGTATATGTATATGTATCATTAACTAATGAGAGAAAGAATGAGTTAATTACTTGATTAGCTGATGAATGAGTTGAACAGATGATTAAATGGTTAGTTGATTAAGAAATAGTTCATTAGCTAATATTTGTTTGAGTTATTTAATTGTTTATACTACTTAGGTAAGTAACTACTTTTAACTAACTGATGAATGAATTAACTAGCTAGTTCGTGAATCAAGTAACTAATTGAGGAAGTAATTAAAACTAACTATACGAAATAGATGCTCAAATTAATTAACCAATTAATGCTGCTTGCAAGCTCGGCTCGACTCAAAGCGGAGTCGGCAGCAATCAATCGCTCTCGGCATCGAATGCGAACCTGGCACGTGCATTCCAACCCTCACCCATGAAACCCTTCAGCCGAAAGCAGGTCTCTCTTCAGAGCCGCGACAAAGCAGGAACCTATGCACCGGCTCCATAAAGCGTGTGCCCCTTGTGTGCTAGTTGTCTTGCCGGCATCACGACACGCAGGCACTCCCACTGCAGGTGTGTATGTGTGCATGGTATACTGCACTCTGTCCCATGATGGGTCCGTGCTGTATGTGCTTTGTATGCGCGCATGCATGTATGTATGCCCGTCTGCATGTGTGTTTGTGTGTCTGTATGTCTGTATGCATGTATGTATACTTACAAACTCATACAAATACTTCGCCTTAACATGGCACATCATAGCTCATTGCTGTATATGGGGCGCTCTCGACAGAGTTTTGAACGTGTCAAGTCGTACGCCGGGTAATGCGCGTCTAGAGCTTCTCCTCGCACATGTCCAGTGGCTCCAGGAATGAATCTAGGGTCTCGATCCGTGCGCGGCTGGCTTGAGATAGCGCAGAGGTCCAGCGGTCCAGGCTTGCCTTGTCCTCGTCCACACTTCCGTCTAGTAAACAAGAGTTGAGCACTGACGAACAGTTATCACATAAATATCACCGCTAGAAAGCGTAGTGTTGCGGTAGCAGTGCCTCACACAAGCTTGCGTGTCCTCTGCATCGAAATAAAAGAGCTGGCGCTGTCTGCCGGCTGCTGGGTTCGAGTCCAGAACAAAGCCACACGGGAACTGAGCCTTGTGCTTGACAGAATCGCCCGGTGCATTTCTGGAGTTGAAAGGCACACACATTCCTGTGTTTAGCAGGGGAATTTCGCCTTTCTTGACTTTCTGCTCCTCGTCTGCAAAGTAGCTTAGTCGATCTGGGTGCAGCACGCACCACCTTCGAGCCCACTTGAAATCGGCCGCAGGCCCTCTCTTGTTCAGCCAACCTTGCAGAAGGACGTCCTCCTTTTGCCTTGCACGCAGCATCGAATGCAAAATGGAGTTGCGCTCTGAAGCCATGTGAGGCCAGTTCTGTGGCGCTGTGATCGTTTGCCGAGGGATGGCTTCACTGATAGCCGGCGACGGTCCGCTCCGGGTCAGAAATACCACGTAGGCGTTGGCCCCGACAGGCTGCTGCGAGCCCAACCTTTCCACACAGGAGTCATCGAAGTAGTAGAAAGGTCCGGTCGCTGGGCAACCAACGCGGCATGTAGCCGTGTAGTGCCCTGACCCGTAACCCCCCAAATGGTTCGCCACGCAAGTGACTCGATAGGCTGCCCCGTCTTTCTGCTCCGAAAAGCACAAGGAGGAAAGGTCAAAGAGCTCTGGAGCTCTCAGGTGAGAGTCTATCTTCCGAAATCGAAAGCTGTGCATATCGAACTCGAAGCGCTTCAAGTGCACAACCAATACTGGTGGAAGCTTCCACAGGTCTATCTTCTTTGTCGCATCGACCTTTTGCTTGCACTTCGGGCAGAACCACTGCTCATCTCCGACAAGAGTCTCACGTTCGAGATACTTCTCGAGAGCCTCGCGCACAGTGGTCATCTGCCAGGTCACCTTGAGAAACAACGACACCATCAAGCTCCCGTTGTATTGGCAATTTGGAGGTTTGCACTTGGGTCCGTAAAATCCAAGCCGCTGGGAGGGACAGGTACAAGAAAGCTTCAAAGCGGCGAGAGCTGTGCCCACAGCGGCTGCAGGTGACAGAGGAGCGCAGCTGCCCTTGCAACAAGTCCACCTCAAAGGCAGGCAGGACCATCTTGCTGATCATTGCTAATTGTGCAGTAGTAGCTGCAAGCTGCTATCCCTGCAGGAGGTTTACTGGAGCTGACTTGCTATGTAGCCCCTTGATGCTTCCCAGTGGCCAGAAAGGACTTTCCCTGTTCAAGGTGGCGCATCCAGGATAAAGCCGAAGCAAATTCTTCTCCTCTCCAGGAAAGAGACTCGGCGATCAGATCCAAAGCATGATCGTCTGGTGCACTGGCTTCGCATGGCGGTACACTTCCATGAGCACAAAATTCGATACAAGATTGGATTTGTTCTTGCTTAGCTCGCTGCGACGAAGACCTGGCAAAGAAAGCTTGAAAGCTTTCTCCTGCTGTATTTTCAGCATGGGTTGATGTTTGTGTTGGTCTTCTGATTGCCTTTCTAACTCCCCCATGTCAATTCCACCTCGCCCGACGGACAAACCCTTCGAAAGAGGCTTACGAATTTGAGCGAGGGAGCAAGCTTTCCGAGAGTTTGAATTGGAGGGGCAAGCCGTTGGAACGGGGCTGGACTACCGGACAAGTTGAGGACCGGGGGTCCCAGACCTCTTCGAACGAGCCCGGAAAGCTGATGGCGGAAAGGCCTTCGGAGCCAACCGTTGGAGTGTGATTACAGGATTTGAGTGGGGGGGCAGGGCATTCACTTCCAAAGAGAAAGTGCCGAGAGAAGTTCAGAAAGTCGAATATGCTATAGGAACAGAAGCTGCGAGGGACGAGGCATGACGAGACGAGGCAGTTGGACAAAGGGCGGCATGCCGTTTTGCAAAAAGGGTGCATACTCCAAGAAAGGACTAGGACTTGAGGCGGGGAAGGAAACCGTTCGAAACTGAACAGAGAAGTTGAGATCGAAATGGGATAAAGAAGGGGGAAACCGGAAACCCACTAGGAAGCGGAACACACTTTTCGAAATTGAGGCAGTGAAGCACTCCTGTCTCTAAAGGACTGCTCGAGTCTGCGGATGCGTCGACATGCCTTTGTCTGATGGACGGATGTGTCCTAAACCCTAAACCCCTAAACCCTAAACCCTGTCTGTGTCGAGGAGTCCTCCTGCAGCGGCCTGACGCTCGTCTTCCTGGCGGCAGGAGCTCACAGGAAGCAGGTGACGCAGATATGGGTTTCGGGACCCTCCCTGGCTCCGATATACCCCACCGGAGTTCTGCAGCATGTTCCAAAACTCCTATGCACGGCACGGCCGCAGCCTACTGCCCCGTATTGAACCCTGTTTTGCTGTCATCATGATGAGTACTGCATAGTACTGCCATACCTTTTGGTGCTTCTTCGCCTTTATCATGTATCACCATTAACGTTCCGCTGCTCAGTTCGCAAGAACCAGCCCTCCATCAAACCGGAATCCAAAGAAGCATGCCTTACTGTGCATCATGGGCCTCCTCCTCAGCCTCCGTCTGGGGCTTCGGTCGCTTTCGCACGCGGTTGAGATCCTCGTGCAGGGTATCCAAGAAGAAGGCGAGGAATTCCTGAGAGCCGCTAGACGAAGAAACGTACCGAAATGCCTAAAAAATCATATCCTTCCACAGTCGTAGAGTCCGGGACTCCAGGACAGGACATCCCCAAACGACTGACTAAAGCTGAAAGAAGGAGTGCCTCAGGCCCTGATCCCTGCCCCAAGATTCCTGCACATCCTGCTGCTGGTAATCCTCGAAAAGGTGGGGGGCCAACTTCATCAGCGTCTGGTGCAGGGAACGCGGGTTGATTGCTGACCTCGAGCGCTTGCCCGTACACACCCGGCAGTTAATCTGCGAGCCCAATGACTATGTGACTATGTCCTTGCGACGTTGCTTCTCACTCGGACTATGACTACAAGAGCAGAGGGCTGGGAGTATCTCATTGGCTCGGACAAGAGCAGAGGTAGCGGCGCTGAATTCGGATTCCACATGGCATTCTGCAGCTCGGCGAAAGAATCCAGAAGTTGTCCCTGGGAGCCTCGGTCGCTGCCTCGGTTTGGATTCGACTCACGTTGCCACTTATGCTTCGAATTCTGTGCTGACAGAATACTCCGGTTGACCTCATCGGCTGCATCACCGGAGAGGATATACCTGGCAAAGGTCTCAGTGAGATTCAGGAAGGGGCTTCCTTGGGTCTAGCTAGATGCACAAACACACCTGGTCGTGGCGACACGGGTTCTTAACATGAAAGGCTCCAACAATGTCCTACAACATCGATCGGCGATGATGCTATTCACGAGTGCTCTGTAAAGAGACCAGAGGCGCAAAGGGTGGACTACAAAAAGATGTTGACCCTCTGTTGACACACAAACGCAAAGCCCCTCACATGACATCATGTCAACAATGTCCGAAACGCAATTGTGCTCCGTGCAGCCACAGATGCTGGCTCAAAGGCTCCAGGTGGCTGAGGCACTGCAGGCCCGCATTCATGAAGCAAGTGTTGCCAAGGTTTCTCCTGGGATTCTCGGTTCAACAAGCAAGCCGAGGCAACCACCAAGATGGGAAGGGCCTTCGAGATGGCCATACTGACAAAAAGAGCAGGCGAGGTTCAGGCCCAGAACTCCCTTTAAGGCCGGGCGAGGCTGACGGCTGCCGAAGAGGAAGTCCAGCATCTGGTAGCCTCGGAAAGGCAGAGAGCTTTTCACATGGACGACAGCTCCCACTTTCCGGACTCGCCAAGAGACACAAAAGCCCACCGCAGCCAGCTACAATAAGCCAGGAGGAGCAGGTCGATTCCGCTCCCGCCAGCGCCGACAGCTCCATGCGACTTGTGGCATTTCCAGAGACGCTATCTATGTCACGAAGCGTTGGTAGCGACCATGCCAGCCCTCAACACTCAACTAAGCGTCGGCTGAGACTTGTGCAAGCTTACGTGTAAGCTCTGTATCTCAAGATTGACATCTCTCGTTCTGGATGCTGCCCGTGGCACGCATCGTCTGCGTCAAGACGTTAGACTAAAAAACGACGCTCATGAAAGGTCCAAAACAATGATAGTAGCACATTGCAGTGCATTGCAGGGCCAATGTGCAATAACCTGCCACAATCGACCCGGTCTGGAAACGGCAGGATGCAAATGCGGACGGAAGCCCCAAAGCCCCAAAGACGCAAGGCTTGAGTGTAGGCCTCCGCGTCTGGAGTGTGCCCGACGACAATGCGGCTGACATTAGCCACTTCCTGCATGGCCCGAATTACCTCGGCAATACTTTGCTCAAGCTGACCAGTCTCAGAGAATCAGCTCTCAGAGTCTGACGAAGCTTTTGCGAAGGGTGCATGCTGTGCTCCCCCGAGGTCCGTGCAGCATCGACCTCCGCGCAGCCCCTAGGGTCATCCGCATGGAAGCCCCGGTAAGTCGTAGCCTGGCTCTTCGCAGTTCTACATTGTGTTGTCAAGCGGGGCATAGTATGTTGCGGAGGAGATGTTGCACCGTTCTCCCTCTGCGATGCGCAGAGACACACAGTGATGCAATGAGCCCCAGCACCGAGAGTCCGGCCTGGTGTAGGAGCTCTAAGCCAGCGCCTCCACAGAAGTAGCAACAGTCAATGCCCGGATGTGGGGGCTGCAGAACACTGCTTCTTGCGTTCACAAAAATCTCCTCCAAATGCACTTCCAACAATCGACCGCGCCTCCCTGCTGCAGGAGGTGGTGCCGATCGCTGTGTAGATATCCTCGACATTCGTGTGGGTTGCTGGAGCACAGAGGGGGAGCACACGGAGCTCGAGCCATGCGACATTCCGGCTTCAATTCAAGCAAGTGAAGCTGCCTGGTGCTAGAGGTACCAGCTCCGAGGCGTCCCGAACGGGCATCAAGCCGCCATGGACGAAAAGCGTTCCTCCACGGGAGGGAAACCGGGATGGAGGCGAGGCTACTTGATCTTCGCGAGAAGCTTGATGAAACAATGCCTATCCTTCGTCTTCAACGTCGTCGTCATCTACTACCGGAAGGAACAAGCAGCCCCGCCCGAAGATGACAAGAGATCAAGGCACCCAGGCCGATTATGAGCCTGGTTTTACGAACTGCAACCATTCGTGACTGAGGAAAGCTGGAAATGTTCAAAGGGTCAGGCTTGATCGCGGCTGTATAGAAAACGGCGGCAATCGCATCTATTGAATGATGCTGGCCTATCGGTTGCAAGAAGGAGGAGTACAGATTTCCTCATGTCGCCGATGACAGTTGTTGAGCTCCTGCTTTTGCGAAGCGGATGGCTCGAAGGAGCCGTCGTTTACTCCTACAAGCTGAAGCACCGCGTATAGGCCAGTTAAGTCGGAGACGAGTCAGGCAGAAGCCAAAGCTTAGGCCGAGATGCCATGATCGGGGTTCCTTTATAAGAGAAATAGCCGCAGCTAGTCGAAGCAGCAGTCGTGGCACTAGTACGTAGTATTTCTTCGTAGCCCTTGTAGGAGGAGTCTTAGACAGTGGATCTGTGTTAGTAGAACACGTTTTCGCAGATTGCTTTGTACTGTTTGACAAACGCTGTCCACGTAGAATTACTGAGCCAGCCATACTAGCTGCTGTTGTCGGAAACGGGCAGCAGCTGCTTTACGGTCTACAATGTGCATAAGACCCTTGTCCGTCTCTACAAAACCTCTTTGGAAAGACTGCGCCCGCTGCACAGGCAATGGCCTGCTACGACCGCCATCGCAGGGCGCTCGAGGAGCCACTCGGCCAAGCCAGAACTGTGAAGCCCTGAGGAATCCGGAAGCGCTCATAGTGGGGGGCTCTGCTCATACTTCGCAGCTTTACACAACTGTATGCTTCTAGCTTCAGCTAACGTTATCCGAGTCGTCGATGCATTCAACTGTTAAAATCTGGCCCAAGCCAAGTCACCTTTTCAAAATGCAACAGACAATTTTGTTCCTGCATGTCATCCTTTGCACCACCTTTTGAACCCCAAACCTTTTGCAACTGGCTTGGTTCAGCGTTTCGCCTGACTGGGAAGCGGTCGAATGGAAGGCCTTCAGCAAGGTGCTGCTGCCACTGGCTGAGGCGCTGGGTGGTGCGTTGCCGCAGCATGTCGTTACCGACAAAAGGGGGCCAGCCCTCAGTTCAGGCTTTAAGGCCGCAGAGGGATTTTGCTGCAGGCTTCAACTCTCGTCATTCCATCTTAACTTTCTACAGACTGTAGGTGGTAGTGAGTTCTGACTTGGGAACCGCTGCGAAGCCAGGTAAATGCTTAGCGAAAGAACACTCAGCCGCCTCAATCCTGGTGACCCAAAGCCTACGCCAACCGCACGCGAGCCAAGAGTCGAAAAGGCTTCTTTGTCCGGGCCCCTCGACCATCATCACCTGCCCGGCGCTTGGAGTTTCCAACCCCGGCGAGGCTTCAGCTGCAGAAACCACCAAGGCACTTTGAAAACTTCGGGACAAGACCTAGGAAGCCCGACCTTGCAAGACTTGTGCCACGGTCTTGCAGCAGCAAAGGGCCCTGAAGCCGCAACATGCCCTAATCCCCTCTTTCCCTTTCATTCATCGACCTGGCGCTCGGCTCTCATCTGGTAGACATGCTGCAAGGCCAGCAGCAGGTTTGGAAGGATCTCGGAGGTGTCGTCCGCCTTTCACAAGAGCAGACCCTGACCCGACACCTCTGGACGAAAAAGAGGAGAACACTACGACACTACGAGTTGTAGTCTAGCCCAGCTCGCCTATCGAGTGGCTGAAGCGTTTAGGATGCGCTGCATGTGCAGCGGGAGCTTTCGTGAATCCACGCCTGGACGGCGCTCTCCGGCACCCAGTTCAGATACTCTTCCTTAGTCGAAGGCCATATCCACAGTTCGGCATACATTCAACTATGGTTCAGTTAGCAGCTAAAAAGCACTGAGCCATCTTCAGATATCTGGGAGCTACAGCTAGGCTCGAACAAACCACGATTCAACTGCCAACCCGGTCGTATATAAAATGCAGGAGACCCAGCAAACACGAAAGATCGAGTTCGCACAATTGTCACCAAGCATCTGGGTGAATAAATGAAAAGGTAAAATCTCGCACCGGCACACCCATCAGAGTAGCAGCACCATCTGGCAGGACCGAATCTGCGAGGAAGTACAAGTCGTGATTTCCTGGAAATCTTCTGTCCGCATGAAGCTGCGTGGACAAGCCGAAAGCTTTCCCAGCCTAAGGCCATCCGTCCTATTTGTGGTCCGATGGCTTGATCTTTCTCGGCAAAAGCTCCATGACCCGAATCCCAAGCCAAGGGGCCAATAAGTGCCAGCACATTTTTGGGAAAGCTCCACGTGAGGTTCCGCACGAAGCTGAGGACCTGAAGGCCCTCAGGGCCCCGGTCCACCTGTCCACTGTCATGCCAGGACTCCTTTTAAAATCCCTTCAGGGCTCTCCTAAGGTCCTACGGTCCTCCCAGCAAGTCCAAGGCCAAGGCACATAATCGCCCATGAAAATTAGCGCTGTACGTTCTCTACCCTGCCACATCCACGTGTCCAGGTCTACCAAGCCGGTCCTGAGTGGTCAGAGCGCACTCGGCTTGGGCAGGTTCAAGCTGGGTCAAGAGTGTGGTCCGCCTGTCTTCATCATGAAAGACTGACTGCACATATGCGCAAGCATGCTCACATGCCGGAAAGCATGAAAAACCGACTCTGGACCCGAAGTACCGCGGCCGTTTTGCATAAACTTCAAGGACCACTGAACACTGCACACGCCCCAAACAAAAAGGCCTTCTCACCCACTGTTCAGCACACTGTATGTCACCATGGAGGTCGCCGATGATCCAGGCCTCCTGCACGGAAGGGCGGCCCGCGTCAATGTCCAGGTCTTTATAGTTCCGGACAAGTGATGCCGACCCCGTTCCTTCAATTGTAGGGGGCGCTGTGAGAATAATCGGGAGTTCAGGAAGCAGTAGCCACCTGCTAATGCCCCCCTTGCTACAGTAGTCTTGCGAACATTCAACATGGCCAAGCCTGCCTTCAAGAAACCTTGCGAGAAGCTCAAAGAGCAAGGGGATTTCTGCTACAGTCTGCAAAGGTCGACAAAAGTGCACTTGCGGGGCGCAAACCTGCACTTGGGACTACAATTGCTGCCTCCTCGCGGGGAATCCTTTGTCACACAAACCACTACGGCCCCAACTTTGTCTCTCTCCTTTTTTAAGGGTGGGGACACCTGGGCAAGGCACAGGTTTTTGGGGCTTTCTGCCTCGATGTCGTCGAAGCCCGGCGGCGTGAAAAGCTCGCTCGCCCTCAAGCGAAGGACATGATAAAAGAAAATGTTGTATAATATAACATAGTATATTATAATATATAACATAATATAATATAGTATAACTTTGGGGGACTCTGTGGAGCTTGTGCTTTCTTCGTGCAGGACTGTCGGAACTCTTGTTCTGTTTGCAGGTGTGGAGACGTGGAATGTGATCGATCACTGAGCTTCGCCACCCCACCCAAAGGACACCGACCCCTCATGCCTGGCAGTGAAGAGGAGCAGGCAAATAAGCCTGGGCATGCAACTATGCTTCGAGTTACGGAGTCTCGCCAGGGTGGTTGGACTGTGGCACGTGGCTCATATGACGGAAGCGGTGGGCAGCACCAACTCAGCACTCGCAGGGAACATCTTCAGAGGTCTATGTTTGCTTATCACCAGAGGAAGTACCTTACAAGCCTTACATTCCTTCACGGCTTCTCTTCTGCCCTTACTAGTAAAGCTGACTATGAGCTTTGCTGACGTAGCTTCGGGTTCCATGGTGACGGCTTGCTGGTGATTTCTGGCATCTACTGCTTCGACTATAAGAGTTTAATTAATCCTAGTGAGGGAGATGGGGCCGAAGCTTAGCACAGGTAGTGATGCTGGGTGCACGAGCCCAAGCGCATGCGAAACGGATCATCCATGCAAACTGTGTACAAAGCAGTAGCCACGTCACAGCCCATTCCGCCGGCGTTGCCCAGAGGTGGAACCGGGCTCGTGCCCTTTCATGGCTGGGAACAGAACTGGGCGGCTTTGTCCATGCAAGTCTGCCTTTGGCTAAGGGTCCGATTGCACGTTGTCGATTTGGTCTTCTAACACCTATAGCTGCTCATAGCGGTCTCTCATGTGCACACAGAGGGGAAGCTTCTGCTATGAGCCAATGCTGCGAGTGAACTTTCGCATGGTGAGCATTTACGTGTACTTGGATCAGCGCATTCTCTAGTCACGGCACGTTCTGCAAAGTTGGCGTGCCACTACAATGATTTCCGATAGAGCGTTCGAGTTGCCAAACATCTAGCGCTGCCATGGGTAAGCCAGCCCGCCGAAGTGACAAAAATGCTGTTTCCAAAGGTCTCAAAGTCGCAGGAGCATCACCAATCAAGGATGACATGTCCCTTAGGCTCAATTCTAAGTTTTTTGCAAAATGCTGAAATCGAGTTAAACCTGGCAAAGCCTGTCGACACAATTCAACAGCAGCACAGCTGTAGTCCGGGCAGATAGCTAGCGTAGCTGTCTGATTCATATAAGACCGAGTCGGGCACTCTCTGGATCGAGGCCCAATGCTCGGGCCAATGCATCCCTCACCTGAGCTCATTGAAGACCGCAAGCCTTTCGCAACCGTGACCAGCTTGTGTCCTGAAGTTGTGTTATCCCGCCTGGCTGCCTAGAGCAGGCTGAGCAAATAGCAGTCTGCGATACTGGATGTCACCGTGTGCAACACTGCAGCTACAAAAGAACTAACTCTCCAATGTACTACAGAGCCCTTTAGCTAGCGCACTGTGTAGACTGATAGTACATAAGCCTGCTGCAGGGTGTATCCTGATTTCTTGCAGAAGTTTGTTTCCCATGCTTCGCGGATTTTCAGGAGCAATCAGCCAGGACGCTGTAGGACATAAAGGGATTGGCCGCTTCCGAACAGCATAAAGCAGCTGCAAACGCTATCAGGTGCTTCGCAGAATTACTCGGGCTACTAATACTTTGCAAGTCGCGTCGACGACCTTCGTGCAGGTCTGGACCGGCAGGGTGATCTCCTCGTCTCGACCTGAGAAACGAAGGCGAAGAACAGTTCACCGCGCAACCCTGTGAACAAAACACCGCAACGGGAGAATTCCCTGGCATCCCTGCAGGAAGCAGCATTGGTAACCGCGTGCATGGCTCCATATCCGGGGAACCGGAAAGTTCTCCAGAGCCGACCGACTCCAAACCGTCAGTTGCGACAGCGTCGTGAAGCGCGGGGCATACGGATGAGTACTGACATGTCGTCATGGAACGCCAGGGCTGCACTGCAAGAATCCGGAATCCAGAAGCCTCTTTGGGCATAGCCCTCTCCCCAACACAGAGATGAGCAAAAGCTGGGGCCAGGGCCGAAGACCTTCCTTGGTGCATCAGGCGCGAGGTATGGACTTCAAAGGACAGCACTCTCAGCAGCCGAGCTTCATAGCGATCATCCTGAAGGTGGTGCTATACTGTCTGCCCTGGGGCATTGCGCCTCAAAGCGGAGCAGCCGCGGCAGCTTAACCGGGACTCCACACAGAGACGAGGTGTCCCTTGTGAGCCGGCCTGGCCGTACGTTCTGCCACTCGGGATGGAAGACGTGCAGTCCTTGGTCCGGCACGCGCAGGCTGCTTGCCTCCGTGGTCTCTTCCTCCTTTAAAGCCTTTAGCAAGCATAGGCTGAGGTACCCAGATTCGCCATGACGGCCATTCTCTCCAGGGCCTGCTCTGTCACCGACTTCAAGATGGGCACACTTAAACTTGACTCAGCTCCGCCTCCTTCCGGTGCTCCCGGAGTGTGATCCCCGGCGAGGCACTCCGCTGCCGCGAGGACACTGCGAACGGCAAAAGAAATAAGATGCATTCAGTTGGATTCAGTCCATTCGGCGAACTACTGCGATTCGTTGAGGCAGCAATAGACAGCTGACACACGCAAACATGCATCATGTCCGCAATACTTGTTGTCTTTTGTCGCCAGTGGCCACAAGGAGCTGGCATCTACATCCCCGACGCGAGTTTCGCATCAGAGTAGACTCTTTCCAGCATCTTTTGAGCCTGACCTGGACCAGAAGCTCTCAAACGGCCCGAACAGGCCAGACATGGAATCTTCTTCCCAACGGTAGAAGCATTGACACGAACGAAACCTGTGAAACGAACACATCATGAGGCCAACTGCATATCAGTACAGTAGTAGAGAATTAACGCATGCCAAGTCTGGGATAAGCTTCACACCGGCTCAGGTGAAGCTGTACTGGGATCTAAGTGACATCTGCCCGCGTGGATGCGGATCGGTAGCCTCGGCAACATGTCGTGCAGTTTCTCCTTCCCCTCAAATTCGCGGGTAGCTTCAACACCTCGCTTGACAAAACTCCGTAGACTCTGTCATGCAGGTCGGTTAAAGCGCAAGAACATGAGCTGAGACGATCACCGCCCCTTGCAGGAGTGCCTGGCAGATTTATAGATGCTTCCGGCAACAGCTTCAGCACCACGATCTGAAAAGCCGTTGCAGTGACAATATCCGGCCCAACCAACAGCCCCAAACGTCCACAGCCTGATGAAACTGCTGCACATTCTGCTTGCAGATAGGACACCTGCGCATCTTTGGCTGGCAAATGAGGCAGGGGTTTGAGGCGCTGCCCGATACACAAGCCAAGGTGCGGGATTGACAAACACATACGCGTAGATACATGAACAAACATAATATACACCCATATACATACAAATACACACACACACATATATATATGTATATATATATATATGTACATACATATACATATATATATATATACACACATACACTTATAATAATGA